TCCGAGTTTGAGGTCAAACTCTTTTGAAGATGGGGAGGATGTTGTACCCCACCATGCATCACAAAAGGGTAAGAAAAATCAGGGGATAATGCTTAAGTGTTATAATCCTAATTGGGTTGAATTTATTCCTTTTTCCCATCAAAAGGCCCAACCCTTAGCCCTTGCTGCCCAAATTCCCCCCTAGCCAAATCACAACCCACAAACCCTCTCCCACAACATCCAAACTCATTTTCTCTGCCCAAAATAAAGTCTTTGTTATTCATTACTAAGCCTAGGCCGAAGGTGAACAACAAAAGACAAAATAAAACTTTTCTTTATTTTTTCTTAGACATGATAATCGATTATCCAACATAGATAATCGACTATTGCTTCCCCCTGAATCCTCTCAACGTATTCCTGCAAATGCTCCATAATCGATTATCTCCCTATAGAAAATCGATTATTACTCATCTCAGAAGATATCCAGTTTTGGGAAAAACCTTGTGAATCGATTATCTTGCAGAGACAATCGACTATCTGGTTCCTCAGAACATTCCCCGTTCTGTATCAAACCCTATTAATCGATTATCAGTAAGAGATAATCGATTATCGTCTGTCTCAGAACTTGGAAACCGAAGTGGTCTCTGATTTAACAGTAAAGGTTTTGTCATTTAGGAACACACTTGACTAAATATCATTCCCACTATACATGGACGAAATTCCCATGTTATTATTCAACAAAATCAAAGACTTTTACAATATAAAACAAAGCTTAATCCCTCATCCATGTGCTTGCCCAAAAGTCTTTGATTGAATAGTAATATTTTGTCCTATATTTCACTAGAAGTCAAGCCATGTTGTTTCCTTTATTCCTTCACCCTAAAGACGAAAATCATACATAAAACCACTCAAAATACATTCCAAAATCCCTGATCATTAGCCAAGAATTCAACTCATTTGGGATATTAACACATGCATAGCATTTGTTTTATTTTGTAGGAAAGAAGTGGGAAGTTTCCGTTGTTGTATTTTATTTATCATGTAATCATGTTTGTTGTATTGTTTTCTCCATTCCATGGCCTATATATTTCAGCCCTGGTTCATTGTATTAATCAGCTTGTAAAATATATTGTGATAATATAAGTTTCTTGCTCAGTTCTCTCTCTAAGTACTCTATATTAAATCCTAATTCTATATCTTAAGAGTGGTTCTCTTAAGTGGGAGTTTTAGGTTCTAGATATATTAAATAAGTTTAGTGATTCCTTATTTAAATACTAGAGTTTAACCCGAGTGAAGATAAGTGTGTGTGATTCCTCTTATTATTCACTTGATAAATGCTTCTTTCCCACTCCCTTGTTTTCTCCTGAATTCAGCCTCCCCTATATTTCTACACCTTCTCTTCTTCTTTCTCTTCTTAGATTGATATCCTAGACCACCCCGGGTCTCGGGTACAACATTTCTAAAGCACGATTACGAAGCACACAAAACTTGGACAAAAGGTATTAAAAGACCTGGTGCAATTCGTCATCCAGCGTTGTGTCGAACAGTAAAATCGCAGCCCAAATCGTAACAAAATCCAAATGGATTTGGAATCCATCAACATACCTTGAAAGAGCCCCTCAAATCGTATAGCCATAAAAAATGTCTAGATCGATGTGAATCACAATGACAAAATCGCGAATGAACAGTGGCAGACACGGCCGTCAGGCGTCGATTCTTCAAAATTCTCTTCCAAATTCTGCAATATAAAGTCTGGTATGAATTCTACAATACCACGATGTATTATAATTCTTGTACAACTGACAGTAAAATATACGAACTCCCCTTCTAGAGCCTGGATGGAAAAATTGATATCGAGATTTGAGAGGTTGGAGAAGAGAAAGAGGTGAAACGCTATGAGTATTCTACTATTCGAAAATGAGTATTCAATTACTCAAAAATGAGTGTTCAGGTGAATGTACGAAAAACACTTTATTCATTGGACAATGTGCTATCATGAATATATATTTTTGCAATGTCCTTTGCCCATTATCTTTTATGTTTTGATAATAACAAAAGGGTGACAAAACATCATCATCATATTGTGCATCAAGGCTAAGAATCAAAGCTACAAGAAGTTTATATTCGTCCGTGAAGAAGGGACTTGAGCATCGGTGGAAGGAACGAGGCCGTAGAGGTTGTTTCCTTAGTTGGGTAGTGTTTTAGGTCTTAGATTTTGTGTTAAAGAGTATGACATCTCTAAGGTTCATTCCCTTATCATCCTACCTTTAAAACACATTTTTTTCAGTAAACTTTTCAAATAAATTGAAAACTATTCGAATACATCCCTGAAATTCTATTCTGCCTTAGTTGAATAAATCCAGAACTAGTTGAATAAGTCAGAGTGCAGTTTCACCAAAACTAGTCGACTAAGTCAAGACTTAGTAGAATAGTTCGACAGTTTCAACTACCAAACGGCTAGCTTTTTGAATGTTTTTCATCCCTATCCACTCCCTAACTTCTATAAACCTCCTACTTTTGTGATTATCTTCATAAGAGCACTTAGAACACTTTGAAGAAAATATCCTTTGAATATCCAAAGAGATTCTACTCAATCCCCTCCTTCTATCCAAGCAAGGCAACTGTTTTGATTGCTAAATCATTTCTAGCTTGAGTTTTTCCTCATTGCTTGAGTCTTTGAGAGATATTGCCATATTCTAAAGGACTTCATTGTATTTGCAACAATCTACTCCGTGTTGGGAGAATTACTCGGTTGCGGTTTGTTTTCTTACTTTATTGTAAGGGATTTGTATTCTTGGTGTTGGGATTACACCAAGTGGTAGAAATCCTAACGGTTTGTGAAATCAAACGTTAGGTGGAAGANGCAACTGTTTTGATTGCTAAATCATTTCTAGCTTGAGTTTTTCCTCATTGCTTGAGTCTTTGAGAGATATTGCCATATTCTAAAGGACTTCATTGTATTTGCAACAATCTACTCCGTGTTGGGAGAATTACTCGGTTGCGGTTTGTTTTCTTACTTTATTGTAAGGGATTTGTATTCTTGGTGTTGGGATTACACCAAGTGGTAGAAATCCTAACGGTTTGTGAAATCAAACGTTAGGTGGAAGAGATCATGAGTTTTGTGAAATCAAAACTTTGGTGGTAAGATAAGAGGCTTGTGAAATCAAGTTCTCGAGTTGTATTCGGATTGTCAAACTCTGTTAAGTGTGACGGGTTAGTGAAGGCCTGGGCACGATTGCTTCGGGGACTAGATGTAGGCTTTTAGGCCGAACCAGTATATATCGTGTGTGCATTGCTCTTATCCTTCACTTTATTTTAATTGTGGTGCATTGTTTTTATTGAATATTCGTGAAGAACGTTTCCGCGCAAAAAAAACTGGTGTTTTGGGCAACACCTCTTTTCACCCCCCTCTAGAGGTGCGTAAATTGTTCAACACACTTTACATGCAAATGTATAGTATATGTACTCGAAGCTTGTAGAGAGCCGTTTCTTTTTTCATCCCCCACCCTGGCATAGCGTTTCGCTTCTGACTCTATAGAAGAGCCATTTGTTCCACTTGAACTTAGAAAAAGAAAAGAGAAAAGAATAGGTACAAAATGAGTATAATTATCTACAAGAATAAGCTAGATCTGCAACGACAATTTGCTACGGACATTAGTCTGTCGCAGATCTGCTATGACTCTGCGATGGAAATCTCAAATTTGAAAACTCACTTAATATTTGCTAAGGAGCACAAGTATCCGTAGCAAATCTGCTACGAATGGATAAATTCCCTAGCAAAAGTTTACTTAACAAAAACCTTATCCTCTTTTCGGATTATAGCCTACCACAAACAACCCTAGTTTTTTCGTTCCAGCCGCTTACGCCGATTTTGGTCTACGCCGATTGCCGCCTCGCCTCCTCGCTGCTCGTCCCTAGGCGCCGTCCATCACCTGACCTTTCGCCTCCGCCTCCTGAAACAACTCGATCGTCGCTGCATATTCTACATCTTGAAGCTACCCGTCGCTGCACTACCCTTCCATTCGCTGCCTCGCTTCGCACCGCCATCCTTCACCTCGGGCTTCCATCCACCTCCTCGCTGCGCCATGCCTCCCCACATTTTCCGAGCGACAGTCTCAACATCTTCCCAAATAAGGTTTTTCTTTAATTTTATGCCATTTAAATTTATTGTCAATTTTGATGAAGTTCAATCTTCTTTTTGTTTTTTGAAATTGAGTTGAAATTTACATGAAATTGGTAAGTTGTTGAAGGTTAGTTTGGTTATACATAATTGTGCATTATATGAATGATTTATTTTGGTTTTGTGATTGCCCTGTTAAGTTCATCTTCTTGAGAAAACATCTTCTTTCAATTGGGAGTTGATGTTATACTTGTCCCGGGAAGTTTAGTGATAGGCGTCAGCGGGGAGGAGCTTGGCTACTCATTTGTACGATTGGAACAAATCCAAATCTCCTTACAAAACCCTGGGTACTGTGCTTTGCAACTTTTCTCGATCTAAAATGTTAGGTTTCCATGTTATTCTCTAGCTTGCTTTCAAATTTTTAGTTTTTTCTAAAAAATCATAGATAAAATCAAATTCAGAGAAACATAAAGAAATTAGTAGCAATCATGTAGCTTGGAAATAAAAGGCACGGTTGGTTCGGAATTGCTAATACCTTTATCAATTTATGATTTTAACAAAATATTTGCCAATATGAATTAATGTGGTTTGAGCATTAAGTATCCATTCATGTCCAGTCACTTCTAAGATGAAGAGCAAATAAAGGTGGCATACAAGCCTTTGGTTAAGTTCTAGCATCCTTATGGTTTGTGCATAGACACACTTGTCCCATTTATTGATGTTGAGCATTCTTTTGTTTCTCGTTGTTAATGTTATTATATTGTTTCCCCTTTTCTAATACTCTTTTGTGGTTGATGTTTTTTTAATACTTTTTTTTCAGGAATTGGGACTAAAGAGTTATAGATTCAATCATGGTCAAGATTGGTTGGTGTTCAACCATTGAATTACGAAGATGAGATCAACAAATGCATAAGAGTGGAGATGAGATCAACAATGCATAAGAGTACAAGTGGTGCTGTAGAAATTGTGGGCTTGAAAGATAGGAACAAAAGATTAAAATAGCGGTAGCGGATTGATAACTTGAATAAAGTATGTCAATTAGTAAAAAATAAGTAAGAAATTGTATCATATATATCAAGTATATCTTTATGATATTTAATTTTTTTTTGTAATGACTCGTTAAGATATAATAAAAATATTTATAATTATGCTTGTGTAATGATGTTATGACATTTAAATGTTTCTAGTGATCTTTCATTTTGAATCATTGAATCGTGTAGTGCTTGGGCTAAAAAATACTCCCTCCGTCCCGCTATATTCGTCCACTTTTGACTTTTGGAACTGTTCATCTAAGCACTTTGACTCATCAAATTCTCTCAATGTGTAAGCCTAAATATAGTCATGTGTGATCTTGTTTGATTTGTCTTAACATATAGATTATTAATATATAATTTCTATAATTTTTTAATATACAAATTACAAGATAAAATGAATTAAAGAAGTGTATTGGATGGTGTGCAAAAATGAAAGTGGACAAATACTCTGGGACGGAGGTAGTAAGTAAAATTTGTAGAAGCGGGTTCATATTGCTGCAAATCTGCGATGGAATCTGCAAAATAAAGTCGTCCGTCGCAGAATTGAATAAAATGATGCAGAAAGAAGCCCGTTGCAAATGTTGTCGCAGATCTGCAATGGATGTTTTTCCCGTCGCAGAACTTGGCCTAGCGACAAGTTTTTTGCGACGGACAAAGTTTGTCGCAGGTCCGTTGCAGATTAGGAATTTGCTACGGAATTTACAAATCTGCGACGGAATTTGTGCATTGCAGATTTGACAAATTCTTGTAGTAACGATTCGTTTTGAATGAGTTTCTATAGATTCATTGAACGTAGTTAGACGAATAGTGAAACCCATTCGAAATAATCAACTCACGTCTCCCTTAGCTTCTTCATAGCACTGGGGAAAAAGGTATAGAGATTCCTCTCACATTGATCAAGGAACTAGTCTAAATTAGACTTAGAAAAGTTTGTATTCGGATTTAGTACCGGACACACCGGTAACGGAACCAGAACCTTTGTAAGGTATTTTTTAAATTTAGATTTGCTAATTTCAAGCTCTAAATTACATTGATATGAGTAATTATCATTTTGGCACTAAAAATTCAATTTAATAAAACAAAACAAAAGGTTCCGGAATCAATTTTAATTTTTTATTTTCAATTTGCTAGCCATTTTTTACATTCAGGCTAGCTATTTTACAAGTGATAAACTAATTTTAAATAAGTATTTGTCATTTTTAAACTAAAAATTTATTTGGACCAATGATTAATTATCATTTTAACAAAATTAGTTTGTATGCTCAAAACAAATACAATATTTGTTTACGGCGAGTTTGGAAACTGGAATTTGGATTTAAAATCTGGATTTGACTCAAATTCCTTGTTTGGGAAATTCTAAAATTTTGGATTTGAAGCAAATTCCTCTAATTCATTTCACAGCTCAATTGCAAATTCATGTCTCCCCTTTTCATTTAAAATTCAAGAATTCAAATTTTGATATTGAAATACAAGAATTAAAATGAAATGGTAGTTCACAAATAGTACCTTATCTAATTTAATTCGTTAGTGCTAAGGGTCCTATTTATCTATCTCGGCCTAGCACCATGAATTCTCAAGACTAGCCCTTCCCTCGGGTCTCTCAAATCCAACAATCAAGTTAATTAAGATAGCGTGTTCCCAAAGTTCTTGTTCTCTTGTGTTTATTCTTACTAGTATTTTGACCTGTGCCACGCACGGGGTCGAACAAATTTTTTTGTCGATTCTAAAATTTTTCTTAATGCAATATTTTTCTGCAATAAAAAAAATATACTTCTCGCATGATTTTTAAATAGACAAAAAAATAAAGTGGAATAAATAATATTTGAGGAATTGAATGTGTACACAACAAAAAAATTAGTTCTAAGACTAATATTTTTATTCATGTCTTTGTCTTCACTCGCGAAACAGTAACATAAAGCTGACCATGAGTGAACACTGACTTGGTTAAAAATAATCCAACAAATGATAATATTTGACCTTAAGTTTTGTTGATAGTCATAGCAAAACATTAGACTATTGGAAATTGTCTTCTTTCGAACGTCAAGGATAGCCTGTATTAGATGGTACCAAATTCATTCGGGATATGTAAAATTTTCCCCCCACTCAATTTCTCAAAACCACAATAACACTGATAACGTTCTTTCGCAGCTTGTCAACAATTAATCTTGTACCGCTACACAGTCTAGATGTTTGGTCAATGTTTCTTTATAACATCATTGGTACCCCATTTTTAAAACTACTTGTGGTTTGGAATCCCAGGCCATTTGATTTCATTCAAAAACTTAATTGTTATCTAATCGCCATCAATACCTACATTTGAATATGCCTCACATAATAAATCGCAACTGAAGCACATCATTTCATCTTCGAGGAATGGGTGATATGACAAATTCATTTACCATTTCTAGAACTTCAAGCGTGGGTGCCAGTAGTGGCTTGTCCTCAAAAAAACAATAACTTTTCTTATTCTCCAATAAATTCGGATAAGTGAAGTTCACTATATTCTTTAGGGGGAAATTTTCAACGTCAATTGTTCCATCAATCACTTGTCCAAGCTTTCCATCTGCAATTCTTAATATCCAATAAAAAAGCTTGTGTGTCTCTATCTGCGCAACAAGAGGTAGATGAATGCAATCTCATATTCTTCGTTAACGTATAAACTTTAAAATACAACCCCAATTTTAAAAAATTGAGGGTAGCACTTACAACTTCCTCTCTCGAAGCTCTAGGTAAAACATGAAGAATTAGTTGAAAATTATCTCCGAGTACAAACGTTTTCCATCCGAATGGTTCATTTATGAAGTTTTTATTAGGGAACATCTTTGCATCTCTCATTGTACAATCCAATGCCTCAAAATTAAATCTATTCATCATACACGCTTCATATCATACGATTAGACTTGCTTGTTGGATTTATTTTGCTTTCGGGCTCCCTTTTTTGATGGCACATGTTAAACACTCAATTAGCGCCAGANCCCCCCCCCCCCCAGGTAAAATTATTGCTGCGACATTTAAGACAACCTTACCATTTGACCTTAGAGAAACAGACAGTGATTTCTATGGATATGTTTTTCCAGTTCCACTGAAAACATACACAAAAGAATCAAGTAGTATTTGAGTACATTTTTTATAATATCATATACGCATAATTAGTTAATACACAAAGATATTTGTCGTATCACTACCTTCATTTGAAGATAGATTAGTCTCTTCTATCTCTTATGCACTTGAAAGCATGAAGAAGTGGGTTGTAGAATTATTCTGAGATTTATGCATTGTATAAATAATTTTTTTAGGAAAATGTAATGGAAATGTTAAATTTTAAATTCGAAATAAAAAAATTACCATTTGTCACATCACATAGTACATTCTTTTTGAAATGAGTTAAATTATATGAGGTTATAGCCAATGTCGATGTCTCTCCATCTGTATACACAATTTCTATCATAAACAAAATAGTTTATTAATATATATTTTATGGAGAAGTACAGCTTTTATTCAAACTTTGTTTACGCATGAGTTATAAATTTATTCATTAATTTTTATACATGATAGCTTTTTGAAAATAAAAGCTTTGGTAAAAAATTCTTTTTTATGTGTATTAAAATGTAAAAATAAAACCCACTAAAAATTTGACTACACAAAAAATAAAAAAAAATGAAGATTAAAAGTTCATCCCTAAACGATTTTGATAATAATTATAATAATAGTAACAATTAAAATAATAATAATAATAATAATAATAATAATACAAATAATAATAGTAATACTAATTATAAGATTATTATTATTAATCTTTATATAAACTAATATTTAAAGTATTAGTTACCAATTTCATAAAAATAAAAACAATAAATAAAAAGAAAGGAACTTTTAATGCCATATTTATTTAATAGAACATTAATTATTTTTAGCATATAGTAAAAAACATTCTAATTCTAATAAAAATTGTGTTTCATTTTAAAATTAGTATTTACCGTTTTAAAATTATTACTTTAGATTTAATAGCTTTGAAAAAAGTGTCGCATTTGTGTCACAAAAATTATTATCTCTTAAAAATAACTATCTAAAATGGTAAAAGTTGGTACAATAATGTTCATGTGTAATAAGTTAATTTTAATTATTGTTCCTAATTGATATATTTATGATATAGCTAGTATTTTCACCCGTGCGATGCACGGGGTCGATGAAATTTTTGTCGATTCTGAATTTTTTTAATGCAATTAATTTTCCGGATCAAGTAAATATATTTCTAACACGATTTTTTATCATTGGACAAAAACACCAAGGTAGAATAAATAATATTTGAGGAATTGAAAATGTACTCAAAAATGTCTTTTTTAATTCCAAACATGTTGGCATGAAGAATAAGAAATTAAGTACTACTTTTCACCTCATGGAAAAAGGATAAGACAAATTCATTTACCGTTCAACAACCTTGAGCACGGGTGCCAATAGTGCACTATCTTTAAAAAAAGAATATAATAGTTTTTTATGTTCTCCAATAAGTTCGGATAAGTAAAGTTCACTATATTTTTGAGGAATAACTTGTGTTAAGAATCAAGATCTTTAACTATTAGAGCACCAACTTAATGTATTGTGGAGATATTATAATTTCTTGAGTCTCTAGTTTTACTTGTCAACAACCTCAATGATACATTAGAAGTAGGCTCATTATATATGAAGTCTTACTTCTCAACAGCCTCAATGATACATTAGAAGTAAGCTCATTATCCATGAAGCCTTTAGTTCTTCTAAATATCTGTGTTAAAACACTATGCTCATCTACCATATTTTTCAAATCTTTTACCAAACTTTTATCACTAGTCAAAGAATTATTCTCCCTACTGTGCGAAACAAATAGAACAATTTGTTTTTATTAGCATGTTAATAATGTTCCATGTGTATTATATTGGCAAACACATGTAAATAATTCTTTTATTAAAAGGGTGTTGTAACGCCCAAAAATATACCCTAGAATTATTAATAAATAAATAAAAAATTAATCAAAATTGTTTTGATTAAAAATAAATGTTTGTTGGGCTTTGGGCTAAAATAAAATATGTTTAAATATTCAATATCACAATCTGGATAAATCTTATAAAGATAAATCCAATATGTTGACTTATTGTATGATCTTGATTGAGAACCTAAGTACAGACCCAAATTAAGAATAAATGAAGAAATTGTTTATAATGTGAACTTTGAAATGATTTATTGAAATAAATAATGGAAATAAATAATATGAATTAAATGTGAGAACCTTTTTGAATAAAAGTCAATTAAACCAATTTTGACTCTGTCAAAGACAACCACCCAAAAATATGATGTCGGAAAAAGTATTTCAAATAAATATAAAAACTATATCGTTGAATAGAACTTGACTGTCTGATCGCAACGGTGCAAACGGAATTCAATTCGGATAAAGTTGGACCAAAAAGTGTACCCGGACTGGAACCAAAATTAGTCCCAATCAGGGACGGCGCCTCCTCCACAATCGCCGAATGTCAATCTTCCTGCGCAAAACACACTCAGCATTTGTTTCCTTCATTCTCTTCTTCCCTATAAGAGAAAAACTCAATTCTCTTATTTCTTAACCAAATTGAATAAACTTAGTGTTAAAATGTTCCTGAGAGTAGGGAGATCATCCTACAATAGTTAGTTGCCGCCGAGGTTGCCGGAGCAAGCTGTGGTGTTTGCCGGAAGTTTCACCGTTAAATTGCCAGAATCATCGTTTAGCTTCGAGGTAAGCCCGTTGATATATCTAATTACTAGAATGTTCGTATAGATCGATCGTTTCTACGTTCATAAACGGTCGTTTGGTTGAGTTTTGTGTTTGACATGCTTGAAGAACCAAGAATCATAAACCTTGAATTTGATGTTAAATCTATGAATTAATGATACCAAAATGATCTATGAACCTTGGAGAACATTTCTATATAGTTTAATTGAAGTTTGGTAGCTAAAAATTATATTCACGAAGCTTGAACCGATGTTGAAGATGAAGTATTGTTCCTGATTCGAATGCAGCACGCAGTAGTGGTAATGCACTACCGTGCAACGGTAATGCACTGCCGTGAGACGGTAATTTACTACCGTGAGACGGTAGGATGGTACCGCCACATGCCATTTTAACCTGTCCAAAATCTTCATGTTCGGAAATTAATTCCAAAAAAATGCTATCATGATATTTTTCCACTCCAAGACAGAAATGAAACCATTTTTAAAGTAAATATAATATTTTGATTAATCCTAATATGTTATGTGATGCATGACGGTAAGTTCGGGTGTTAACACTCGAGACTAGGCCGCTAATTGTTATTGAATATTATGTTGATTGATGATTATGGTAATGATTATTGATTAATGATTATGATGATCAAATCTTGATAAATGTTCTAATTAAAAATGGAAATTATGAATGATTAAATCATAATGAATATATTGATGTTGAGAAAATAATATGTATTGTCAAGGGTATCTAGAAGACCTCTAAGATATACCCATATTAATGTTGATTTGAAAGGTATCTAGAAGAACTCTAAGATATACCTATATAAGTTAGGCCTTGCGGGCATGATGCCCGGTGGCTAGGGTTAAAACGTACGTACGGGATCCAAGAACCAAACTTGAGTACCTACTCGTTTTGGGGTACCACCCACCCAACAGTGAACACTACGCTGTCGGTTTTTGGTTGGCCATAAGTGAAGGTAAGTTTAAGATTTCCAAAACCCTTTTATCTTAAACTAGGCCTATCTTAAGGATTATTAGGAATACTCTGTATACTGGAATATAGTTTAATTATTTAAACTAGAATTTATTTAAGGGTTGACAAATATTAAAGTGATTGGCCTTAGACTAAGAACAGTTTAAGGATATTGTTGAATGACAAATAATGAATATATATGTTGAATGATTGAATAATGAATGTTGAAAATTGAATATTGATTATTGAATATCTGAACTGAACATTATGTGCATGATATCAAATGGTTGATTATGAATTGAGATTCAATTTATGTGGATGTTCGACGTATTAGATATGCTTACTCAGCTTTACCGCTGAGCGTGTAGTGTGTTTTATTTGCTACACGCAGGTTAATAGAATGATCTGACGTGATCCTGGAGGCAGACGGAGGCGAGATAGTCGGAATGGATGTGATGGGTTTGAATTAAAGAATATAAATAAATTATGTTTGTGGTTATGATTTGTTAAGCTTCCGCAATATTGAAAACTCTGTACTATTTATGGTATGAAAAATATTATTGTGATAAATAAAAGTGTTTGAAATGTTTTAAATTTTACGATTATCAAGTTAATACTTTAGTCTGAAAGGGGCTGCAGACCTGGACGGATTAGGTGTTACAGGTGTACTCAATAAAGTATTCGAGATACCTAAAATGAGTTATTTGTTTTCATATCTCGTTCTGTATACCATAAATATACAATTGTGTAAATTTTGGTCTTTCACCATATTGTGACATTAAACATGGTATGTGATGATGAATGTGTCCGCTGAGAGTACATTATTGCTCAACCATTATTGTGAGATGTATCAATATTTCCATTTATAAATGTGAAAACATACAATTGTATTTATTTAAATTTTTCATGGTAATGAGAACTCTTCACACCAAGACCATAAAATAAATTATAGAGCAAATCAAATGGTTTTCCTTAGAAGAGACAATTAAAATTTTTCTTTTATGCAATAAATTGTAAAATTTAGATGTTTTGAATCTTTATTCATTCGATTCTTTCTTCATAGTTCATGTCATAACAAAGTTTCCCGAAATTCACACATAAATGCAAGATTTCCAAAATAAATTGTCTGTGAAGAAAAAATAAATTATGATATAGGCAGTCTTTTTTTTTTTCGTTTCTAACTGTTGCGGAACTCTCTATGCTCCCTTCCCAGTCTGGCGAGGTGGTTTCCGATGGACCCATCTCCTACGTCGCTGCTGTCAAAGGTGGTTCACCACCTAAGATACCATCCCCATCTCTTCCTCTAAAGCCAATTTCCAAGTTCAAGGGTTTGCCCTCAATCTCCTTCTCTCAGGAGGAGGTTGACGTTTTATCTTCAAAATTTCAATTCGCACTAGTTGGTGTTTTTAACGATGGAAGACCCTCTTTCCAGACGATCAAAGCTACGCTCGAGTCAATTGGATTCGAAGGAAATTTCCAGGTTGGGTTTCTAGATGACAAATGTGTTCTTATCAATTTTATGAAGGAATCAGATTATAACCGTCTGTTTATGAGGAGATATTGGAATATAAGAGGCTTTGTGATGAAAATTTTCAAGTGGACACATGATTTTGATCCCTCCAATCTCCCACCAATTGTGCCCACTTGGATATCTCTGCCCGGATTACCAATACATCTTCATCAAAAGTCTGCTCTAATGTCTATTGCCAACATGATTGGACAACCTATGACTATTGATGCTGCAACTGCTGCCTTTAGCAGGCCATCCCTGGCTCGGGTATGTGTGGAACTTGATCTCTCCAAAGAAAATCCTAAAAAGATTCATATTTTGGATGGTGATAGGCACATTTTTCAAGAGGTTATTTTATGAAGCACTCAAAGCCTTTTGTACAGTTTGCAAGAAAACTGGCCACTCCAACTCCGACTGTAAGAAGGCTGGAAAAAGGGTTTCGAGTGATATCCCTCAAATCCCTCAGAAATCTGCTTCTGAACAAAAAGAAAACCAATCTCGAGGTGAATGGCAAGTTGTCAAGAAGAAAGGGACAAAACAAGGAGCATCTACAAGTGGCTTCAAACCTGAGGCTAACCCCTCTAACTCAGCTGTGAATATGCAGGCACCTCAGGAGAACACCTCAGTTCAGGTTAACCCTATAAATAATCACTCCCAAGGAACTTCATCACCTTGTGAGAAGGACAATTCTATCACACCGGACTCCTCCCCACCCACAGATGATGTGATTATTGTTGAGGAGGAGGATCTTCAGAAGCCTGATGATGTGGATGGTAAGAAGGAGACACTCCAGGAGCCAGATGATGTGGATGGTAAGGTGACTGATAAGGACACCTCCGAGGTTCAATCCGATGAAACACAGGTTCTGGAACGCTCTAACCTTCCAGACTATGATCATCTTCACGCAGTGGAAAATATCTCTGAATCACTCTCTGATAGTGAAATTTTGGCAAGGAAAACCAGGGAAACCACCCTTGTTACTGAACCTATAGCTAGCCGGACAAGATCCAGGCTTCCTCTGGACTTTCCTCCTCACCTCCATGGTTAAGTCCATCTTCTGGAATGTCTATGGGATAGACTCTCGGTTGAAGAGGCTATCTCTGCTTATTAAGAATCACAATGTTGATGTGGCCTTTATATTTGAACCTATTGTTAATAGAAAGAAGATGAATTTTTTCCAACTCAGACTGGGGATGGATCAGATTATCTCTAGTATTTCAAATAAAATTTGGGTTGTTTGGAAGATGAACTCCCTCAACCTGGTTTCTTATGAGGATAAGGGTCAGGTTCTCCACTGTCTATTTAAACTCAGCAGTACTTCCACCCTCATACATATCTCTGGTATCTATGGTGCTCACAATGAGGTCAACCGAACCACTCTTTTTGCTGAAATTGTGGATTATGCAAGAAAGGTTGTCTCTATCCCTTGGTTTCTAGGTGGAGACTTCAATGCAATCTCTTCAGTGGCTGAGCATAAAGGGAAATGTGACCCCAATCTCAGAGAAATTGCAAGATTTCAACAATGTATTTCTGACAGCGGGCTTCATGAAAGCAGCTTCTCCGGGCCTTCTTTCACCTGGACTGGAATCAGATCTAGAGGGAGGGTATGGCGGAAATTAGACAAAGTCCTTTACAATGAGTCTTTTTCTAGCTCCTTCCCTCACCACAATCTTGTTCACCTTGCAAGAGGAGCATCTGACCACTGTCCTCTTCTTTTTACCATCAACGGACCACTTCATGGCACCCCCAGCCGTTTTCGATTCCTCAATCTTTGGGTGCAAGATAGGACCTTCCATGAGAGGGTTAAACAGACTTGGAACAACTCCTTCCATGGGAGAGGAATGAGGGGCTTGATGATCAAACTGGAAGAGCTCAGCAAGGATCTCAAACACTGGAGTTACAACAACTATGGAAATCTTTTCCAAGCTTTTTAGAGGAGTGAAAAGGATCTCTTGGCTGCTGAAAACCTCTTTGCCTCTGACCCATCCCCGGATAATCTATCTTCTTTGAACCTCCAAAAGGCTAAGCATTCTAAGTGCATTAACAATATTGATTCCTTTTGGAGGCAAAAAGCTAATATCAAATGGATCAAGGAGGGGGAGGCAAACACTAGCTTCTTCCATAACTATGTCAAAGGTAAAAGGAAGAGACTTTTAATCGACCATATCAGTAAGGGGGATGATAATTTCCTGGAATCTCAAGAAGACATTATTGCAGATGGACTTTCTTTCTTTAAGAAGGCTTTTTGTGAGGAACCTACTCTGACAGAATCAGACCTTCTCCAATCCATCCCAGTAGTCATATCTGAGGAGGATAATAACATGTTAACTAGATTACCTAATGAGACAGAGGTCAAGGAAGCTATTTTTGCTCTAGATCCCAACAGTTGTGCTGGGTGGGATGGTTTCAATGGCTTCTTTTTTAGATCCTGTTGGGAAACAATTAAAGAAGATGTCACTTCTAGCTGCCAAGAATATTTTCTGGGCATTCCACCACCTAAATCCATTTGTAAGACTCTTATCACACTTATTCCCAAGGTGGACAATGCCTCATCCTGGAAGAACTTCAGACCCATTTCTCTTTCCAGTTTTCCAAGCAAAATCATTACAAAAATTCTAGCTACAAGGCTTACATCCCTCCTGCCTAAAATCATTTCCAGAGAACAGGGGGCATTTCAGAAAGGGAAAGAAATTAAGCATCACATTTTGCTGGCAAAAGAATTAATTAACGGGATCGATGAAGGAAAGAGAGGAGGCAACATGATAATTAAACTAGACATGAGTAAAGCTTTTGATCGAGTCTCTTGGTCATATTTGGAGAAGGTACTGTGCCTTTTTGGATTCTCAAGGGCTGCCATCTCCCTTCTCATGGGTTTCACCAAAAAGGCCTACCTTAGCCTCCTTATTAATGGTACTCAAAGTAAATTCTTCTCTCCTTCTAGAGGGCTGAAACAAGGTGATCCATTATCTCCTTTACTTTTCAATATTGCATCTGAGGGTTTTTCGAGGAGTATCAATCATTTATATTGTGTCAAAGGGCTAGAACCATATACAATGGGAAGAAATTTCCAGAATATCCATCACCTCTCTTATGCCGATGACCTGCTTTTATTTACCAATGCAGCCATACCTAACTTAATTAAACTGAGGAAATATTTGAATGATTATGAAAAAGTCTCAGGACAGAGAATCAACCTCGACAAGAGTAGGTTTTATATTCCCAAGAAAATTCCTACTAACAGATGGAGAAGGATGGAGCAGATTCTTGGGATAAAAAAGGGGATCATTCCCTTCAATTACCTGGGTTGCAAGATCCATAAAGGGATTACTAGAAGAGCACATTGTACTGAGCTTATCTCCCATATCGAGTCTAAGATCAATGTTTGGTACAATAGACACCTTGGCTCCATGGGTAGACTAATTTTAATAAAACATGTTCTGAGTTGCATACCAATTCATTATCTGTCATCAAGTACTCTACCTAAGGGAGTCATTCATCATATTCACTCTTTGCTTGCAAGGTTCTTCTGGGCTGGAAATAAGGATAAAGCCTACCACTGGAAAAATTGGGACCTCCTTTGCAAACCTAAAGAAGCTGGTGGTCTGGGCATTAGAGGACTGGATCTGCTCCAAATAGCCTTTAACACTAAGTTGTGGTGGGAACTTAAATTTGGAGATTCACTTTGGAGGGACTTTGTACTTAAAAGGTATCCTAAGGGTCTGCAAGGGAGAGTCTATCAAGCATACTCACCAATATGGAAGACTCTAGTTACCATTGATCAAAGGTGGAGTCACCTTAATGATGATGAAGTCCAGGAAGTAATGTGTTCCAATGGAGTGTTTAAAATTAAAAAGGTTTTTGAGTTACTTCAAGAGGGTGAAACACACTGCATGTCCTCTACTTACACTTAGCAAGCTAAACAGCCCGGCAAAGTCTCCATGTTTCTCTGGAAGCTCATTAATCACTGCCTTCCATTCCCTGAAAATCTGAAAAGGTTTAATCTACACCTTCCTTCTATGTGCCCTTTTTGTAAACACAATATCATCAGTGGATTTCATACATTTTTTGACTGCCCCTGGAGTAAAACGATCTGGACCCACTTTTCTTCTATTTTAGATATCCCCCCTATGCAGGCTAGTGGTGTTCTATCTTCACTTTTCCACTGGTGGTTTCGGTCTAATGATAAAACACTCAAGCAAAAACTTATAGGTATTATTCCAGGCTTCATTTGTTGGAACATTTGGAAAACTTTTAATAGCTATATTCATGAAGGAGAGATCCCAGTTTCTGCCAAGACTATCCAAAGGATCTCCTTTGACATTTATCTCTGGAGCAGCAGCCTGGAAGGAGGAAAATTAGCTCAAAATGATGACTGTTTAATTACGTTGGGCCTCGCTCCCATTTTCATGAAATCACTGAAAGTAAATGCTATTTACATCTCTTGGACCTTTCCTAACAATAGTATTTGTCTTCATGTGGACTCTTCTATTATCAATGGAAAAGCTGCGGGGGGAGCCATTCTTCGAAATGGGAAAGGTTTATTTTTAGCAGGTCTTACTATTGAGCTGAACTCAACGGACATCTTCTCAGCGGAGTTGGAAACAGTTGTCAAAGCTTCTCAATGGGCCATGAACAAATTCTCTGCTCCTTTGTTTGTTCACACAGATTGCAAGACTATTGAGAATGCATTGAAATCGGATAAGACTTGCATTAGTCCTCTTCTCAAAACTCTCAAGGAAATCTCAAATGGGAAGGACTTCACTCTTAAATATGTGCAAAGGGATTTCAACCAAGCAGCTCATCATTTGGCTAGATTTGCTATTTTCTACTCTCATTTTGGAGGATTCTGGCATTTTTGTTGTTTGCCTAGAATGGTTAGAGGCTGTATTAAACTTGATGTATCTCTTCCCCATATTATAATTAAATAAAAAAAGCATTTTCAGTTGAAATATATATATATATATATATATATATATATATATATATATATATATATATATATATATATATATATATATACTTCCTCCGTGCCATTGTCTTTGTCCACTTATGACTTTGACTCATCAAATTCTAAAAATAGTCATGTGTGATCTTGTTTGATTCGTCTTAACATATAGATTATTAATATATAATTTTTATAATTTTTTAAAATACAAATTACAAGATAAAATGGATTAAAGAAGTGCATTGGATGGTGTGCTAAAAGGTAAGTGGACAAAGACAGTGGGACGGAGGGATGGGGTTTCTAGAAAGAAGGGGGAGCTCACACCACCGGCGACTTTTCTCCGACCAGCAAGGGATTGAGAATTGGAGGTGGCAAAAACGCAAGGGCAATATCCAAGGGTCGCAGAGCTGGTTTCAACGATCGCGGTGGAGGAATTCAAGGTTTAGAAACAATTCGTGTTGTATACCAGGGATGCAAACGCAAGGATTTCCCAGTTGGAAAACAAATTCATGAAGGTTCAAGCTCAAATGAGGGTGACAAAGTCTCAAAAACAGAAGAACAGGGGGATGGAGACATAGAAATGAAGAGGGAGCCTTCAATATCCTTAGAGTTGCTAGAACAGGACATCAAAATGGCAACTAGGGACTTGAGCAAAACAGAAATTGAACAGAAAGATAGCATGGAGGATTTAGATGTAATCAGGGAAGAAGTTTTGGATGCGGAAAAGTTATTTCAACCTGTCTTCAAGGCTTATTTTGAAGCTATCTTTAAGGCAGTGGAAAGCCAATTCCAAGAGGCGCTTGCACAAAAATCTTTACTGGATAAACTCCAAAAGGGAATGTTGTTAAATCAAGAGGGGAAGACTATCAAGGCTACTAGGGAGGCAGTGAAAAGTATGCAGATTGTGGACCTGGTACACATAGAAGGAACTAAACTTCCAATTTTTTTTGGCGTACTCTAATGTTGATGAAAAGGTGGTCGCAGCTTACCATGCGGGGGGAAAACATCCACGAATAAATTTTTATTTCACTTTGGGGGACAACCAGGGTCTGCTCTAATCTCCCTTGAGGTTTCCAGGGGTTAGACTTTACTTCATTTGGAATTAGAGAAATTAAGGGAGTTCATATGTTTGTTCTTGTTATATTTTGGGTCTTTTGAACTTGGGTTAACTAGGGACTCGCTTTTGCTCTGCTTTGCTAGTCTGGTTTTAGGAACAAATTAGGGCTTGTTTTGGGTACTTCTGGGTTTTCTTGGTGTTTGATGCTACTGCCATCATCTGTGAGTTGGGGTATTTTCCGTGGCAACCAAAAAATAGTAACAAAGAGCTAGGCTCTACATCCTGGCCGAGTTTATATGGGGAGGTGCTAGCTGTGAAGTATGCTTCAACAGGAAGAAGATAATATATGGGTTGTACTAGTAGCCAACTTCTACCGCGTTTGATGTTTAGTTCTTGTTTGATTTCTTTTGTTTTAGTACTGGCCATTTGTTGGGGTCGGCCACCACTGTGCTTTTCTTCTACTCATGAATAAAATCTCTTTTAATAATATATATATACATATATACATATACATACATACATACATACATACATACATACATACATACATACATACATACATACATACATACATACATACATATATATATATATATATATATATATATATATATATATATATATATATATATATATATATATAGCATTCTACACAACTTACATGTTGCATATATAATCTAAACATATTTTAAATTTTTATTTCTCTAACCTAAAATTGATTCCACTAATGTATCTTAAGCATATGAACCTTCTACCTCGAAATTTAAATTTAAAATATATCGAGTGTGTCCACCATATCTATTTTCTTACATTGTTTATGATATTTTATACAAAAAGACAATAGTTGTATTAATGCTCTATTAAATAAGCGTCCCCATAGAAATCTATTTCCTTTTATATATTTGTTTCTTTTTTTAAATAATTAGAAAATCTCTCCCATTAATATTAATTCAAAGCAAAAAAATCAAATGTAATTTCGTTTAGTCCTACCAATCTATCTATTCTTAAAGTAAATTTATTTGTTTTGATTATAGTTTTTGAATAGGTGTTTTTTTTAATTTCAAAATATACTATTTAATTTAAATATTTTCAAATAATGAATGAAAATATAAAAGTTTTTAAACGCAATTATATGGAGAAATTTGTGTATAACAAATATGAAATTTAATTTCCGCATAATAAGTTTTTTTTGTTAACTATTTTTAAACATTACTTGCTAACATGTCATGCTGATATGTTAAAAAGTTGTCTAATAAGCACGCCACATGTCACAATTTTAGAAGCCCAACCCGTTTGAAATATTGAGGAAGTCGATTTTGATGACGTGGCTGATGAAATGTCAAAAAAAGTTCCCGTCAGCACGCCAAATGTCACAATTCTAAGAGTTCAACTCTCAAATATTATATATAAAGGATAAAGGATAAAGGATATTAGTTGTAATTAATGCATTCCGGGGGCCGAATCAATAAATTGGCTTAGATACTAATTATTATATTCTTGGTTAAAAATTAAACGTTTTACTCATAAATAATACTCCCTTTGTCTCTGAGTATTTGTCCACTTTTCATTTTTTTCGGTTAAAATGGGTAAACTTTGACCTCAAAATAATTAAAAATGATATTAGATATTGAATTGATACAAAAACAGTTTAATTAGATTTATTGTATCAAATATTTTCTACATATTATTTTATTTAATTTATATACAATATATATTTTATTTAATTATAAGTCAAAGGTTAAAAATAGTTGACCGAAAAAAGTCAAAGCTGGACAAATACTCCGAGACAAAGATAGTATATATGATTAATTAAAAAATACATAGAAAAAAAATATAACATTTAATGTATACGATTATATAACATTTAATTCTATATGATTCTATAACATTTTATTACATATGATTCTATATCAATAATACATTATTCTATGCATAGGCAAATCATACAACATTTTTATTTTTCACTAAATTTTTCCTCTCTTATTTAAAATTTAATATGTAACTTTTTTTCCCGCCAAAGTTTGGATATGATTTATATTTCCGTTTCAAATAAATATCAGCTATTTTTTTACATCGTTTTACAATTGTTTATTTTTTGGTGAAGTCAAGTTGCTAGTGGATTTTTCAATAGTGTAGAAGTATTTGAAAAACAATATTAACCTCAAAGATCTTAAAATTTGAGGTGTGCATGAATGCTTTGATCATTTAATTTCTTTTTAATATAAATAAGCCATGAGCTATGCAATAAACATTACAATGGGATCATGTATACTTTTTTGGATCATGCTACACTTACACCAAAAAATATACCTCATTTGTACACCACAGGTTTGCACAAACATTTCGATGGTTTACACCGACACAAGTGTTGGTGCGTTAATAAAAATTCACACGGACACAAATGTTGGTGCGTTTAACAAAATTTAGTTTTACACCAACACAAAGTGTTGGTGCAAAATTGCAGGGTACAAATTGGGGTACAAACCTTGGGGTACACATAGCATAATCCAAATTTTAATCAGCAGAAAATATTATTTGGGTCGCCCACTCACTTTTCGTCCGATTTTGACTCTTTTTTACTCTACTTGTCCCCCTTTTTTTTCATTTGAAATCATTTCTAAAATTTTATCTTTTTCAAATTTAATTTATTTCAAATTTGTATACCAATAGAAGCTATAATCTACATTATTTAATGATACCTCAAACCTTTTATAAAGAAAAATGTGATCAGAATATTTTATTTTTTCAAACGATTAATGAAAGTATGGAAATAAATATAAATTATCAACATTTTGTTATTACTCTTGCTCTCCTATTCCCAGTGGCGCGGACCTAGAAAGTAGTGATAGTAGGGTCAAATTGAATTTATTAAATAAAATTAATTCAAATTTTAATAACTAAAGTTACTGCAATATATTTACAGAATAACGTAGTATTTTAACTTTTTTTAAACTTATAACGGAGTATTTTAACTGTAAATACTGCACTACAAATAAAATATTTTTCACTACAACTATAGTTTAAAATTTTCGAGAAACAAAACACTCTTTTTCATATTTTTCTCACGATTTTAAATTAGAATAAAATCTAGCCGTTGGATCTGATGCATCGTGCGGTTCAGATTGCATCCTGCGCTCAGATTTTGAGATGGTGCATTTTCAAAGGATTTTGGTGCATTTCGACGTGATGCATTTTAAAACCATTTTGGTGCATCTATTTTTGATGCAATCCTGACCCTTAGATCTCATAATCTAAAGCACCAGATTCATTCTCATTTCTCTCCTAAGATTGCATTCTCACCACACTACACTGCAAAGCTTACCAATGCACAAAGCAAAGCTCACCTGGAAATAAAGCAAAGCTCACCACTTTGAACCCCAAAACACACTTTTTTTTTAATTTTAAAATTAAAAAATTAATTAAAAATAAAATAACAACACCGGTCAACGGCGGCGGAGCAGCAGCGGCGGCCGGAGTCCGGCGGCGGCGACCGGCAGTGGCTGCCGGAGATCGGCGACGGCGACCGGCGACCGGCGACAACCGGCGACCGGCGGCGGCGGTTGCTGCCGGAGATCGGCGACGGCGACAGGCGGAGGCGACGGCGACAGCGACCGGCGGCGGCAGCGGCCGGCAGCGGCGGCCGGTGGCAGGCGGCAGTCAATGCTGGCGGTCAACAGTCAAAGTCCAGTCAGCACCCTTCCTTTGATTTTTTTTTTTTGGAAAAAAATTCAAAGTGTTGAAAAAATGTGGTGAGCTTTGCCTTACACTTTGGTGAGCTTTGTAGTTGTCTTTGGTGAGCTTTGCAGTGACCAGTGGTGAGCTTTGTGTCATCTGACCGAAGCATGTCATCTCACCGTAAGGTGTCATCTCACTGGAGTCAATCCCTATATATATATATATATGTATGTATGTATATATATATAAATATATATATATATATATATATGTATATATATATATATATATATATATAAATATATATATATATATATTTTGAAAGGAAAGATATTTTATTAATGAGAAGAAAAGAAAAAAGGTACAAAAGGAGGCGGTGGCCGACCCCAACACCAGGCCAAAGCAAGAAAAAAAAACCTAAGAAAAACCCAAAGAACAAAAAAACAAAGGGAGCTAGAAGTCTAAGCTTCCAAGACATATATATATATATATATATGTATGTATGTATGTATGTATATATATATATATGTGTGTGTGTGTGTGTGTGTGTGTGTGTGTGTGTGTGTGTATATATATATATATATATATATATATATATATATATATATATATATATATATATATAACCGGAAGAAATTTTTTTATTAATGAAAACGAAATGAGGGGAGGTGCTCATTGATAAGAGCGGCCATTACAGATGAAGGACAGTCCCTAAAATTACAATATTCAATGAAAGAACAATCTTTGTCCCTATCCTCCTTAGCTAAGAGATCCGCAGCATAGTTACCTTCCCGCAAGGTATGTGAGCTCCAGACGTCATTCTCATGAATCAGTTTGGCTAAGGTATCAATCGGAAAAGGAGAATGAGTGTAATACGTTTAATATCCAATTCTCTTCAAAATCTCCAAGGCATCAGTTTCATAAACAAGAAGATGATGAAAGTTGAGAGCCCATTTAATACCTTTGATGGAGGCGTCTAGTTCGGCTTGGTAGGGGGATGAACCAAAGACTGAAAAGGAAGACGCACGCACAAATCTGCCCTCATCATCTCGAAGAATCGCTGCACCACGTTTGGACTCAGAGGTGAAGGATGCATCAATGTTAAGCTTGAGGCGCCCCTTAGGAGGAGCTAACCACTTAACAACTCGAATTTTATGGGCCTTAGGGAAGAAAGGCAGTAACTTCTTCTCAGTGAGCCAAGCATCTGCACCCTTAAGCTTTTTGGGAATTTTAGCAGCCAACCATTGCCTCACAAACATAGATATGGAATCAATGAGAGTTCTTGAGGAGAAATCAGTTTTACCTTCATGAATGATAGCATTAAGTTCCTTTCCAGATATGCCAACAATTGATACCCGGGAGATGCATACGAAGAAATCCATAGATGTTGTTGCAATTTCCTCTCAGCCACCAATCCATGAAATGTTTATTGATGGAGGAGGAGAATCTGTGCAAGAAACCAAGGCAGGCAGAAAAATGTTTCCAAACTTCCTCAATCTGTGGACAGTCAAGAAACACATGTTTAGAGGCAAAGGAATCTGCCCTACAGAAGGGGCAAATAGAAGGCAGGTGGAATCCTAATCTTTGCAGATTTTCAGGAATAGGGAGGCAATGTTTGAAGAGTTTCCAAGTGAACACCCCAACCTTAGGATTCTGTGGTTTCATCCAAAGATATTTGAAAGAGGCCACAATGGGAGGAGAAGAAGGCCTGCAAAAATCAAAGGCAGATTTGAGGGAAAAATAACCATTTGCCTCAAGAGACCAAACCATTGATCCATCCTCATTGACGGCACAAGCATTAGAAGCAATCTCATCAATCCTAGAAATCCTCTTCCAGACTGGGAAATCAGTCAAGGCCTCCCAAATATCCCCCTCCCTCCAGTACTTGGACCTCATTAGCCTAGCCCAAAGAACATTGTCTTGGTGGAATTTCCACCAAAGTTTAAGGCTGAATGAGTCCTCCAGGCTTTTGAGATCTCTAATGCCAAGACCCCCCTTTTCCTTAGGGAAACAGAGCTTCTCCAAACTAATCCAGTGATGTCTGTAACCACCACCCCACCAGAATCTGGCCATTTTCTGTTCAAGCAAATGAGAGATGGCCTTGGGAATGGTATTGACTGCCAAGAAATAGTTAGGAAGAATGTTCAAAACATGCTTGATGAGCACCAAACGTCCAGCTTGATCCAAATTCTTCTGAAGCCAGCCATTTAATTTATTAGCAAAGGACTGGATGAGTTTGGAGCAGTGAATCTTCCTAGTAATCCCCAAATCAATAGGCACCCCAAGATAAGTAAAAGGAAAGGACTTGTGAGGCATCAACAATAATATCTCAAGCTTGGTGATAGCTAGTGAGTTGAGTTTTGTGCCAGTCATGAAGCTGCTTTTGCCATAATTAATGGTCTGCCCAGAGACCAACGGGTAGTCATGGAGAAATTTTTTGAGATTAAGGACAGACCTGGAATGTCCAGAGGTGAAAATTAAAATATCATCAGCATAAGACAGGTGGGATATATATATATATATATATATATATATATATATATATATATATATATATATATATATATATATATATATATATATATATATATATATATATATATATATATATATATATATATATATGGGATTGACTCCAGTGAGATGACATCTTACGGTGCGATGACATGCTTCGGTCAGATGACGCAAAGCTCACCACTGCCCACTGCAAAGCTCACCAAGCACCACTACAAAGCTCACCAAACTATAAGGCAAAGCTCACCATATTTTTTCAACACTTTGAATTTTTTTTGAAAAAATAAAATCAAAGGAAGGAGTGCTGACTAGACTTTGACCGTTGACTCCAGCTTTGACCGCCGCCTGCCGCCGTCTGCCGCCGCCGCCGGTCGCCGCCGCCGGTCTCCGGTCGCCGCCAGTCGCCGCCGCCGCCGGTCTCCGCTGCCGGTCGCCGGTCGCCGCCGGTCGTCGGTCTCCACCGCCTGCTTCCGCCGTTGACCGGTGTTGCTATTTTATTTTTAATTAATTTTTTAATTTTCAAAATGAAAAAAAAAGTGAGTTTTAGGGTTCAAAGTGGTGAGCTTTGCTTTATTTCCAGGTGAGCTTTGCATTGTCCAATGGTGAGCTTTGCAGTAGGCAGTGGTGAGCTTTGCGTCATCTGACCGAAGCATGTCATCGCACCGTAAGGTGTCATCTCACTGGAGTCAATCCCTATATATATATATATATATATATATGTATGTATATATATATAAATATATATATATATGTATGTATATATATATATATATATATATATATATATATATGTATGTATATATATATATATATATATATATATATATATATATATATATATATATATATATATATATAGGGGTTGGTTCAGGTGAGAATGACTCGAAAGAAATGAGAATAAATATAAACCATTGGATTAATGCATCTGACGACTCCCCATTAAAAGAATTAAGAGATAGACATGCTATTTTTATGGAAGGTAATAATTGCTTGTGCGAAGGAATATGCATAAATTGACATGCAGGGACATTTTGGTAATACAATAATGCATTAAAAAGGCAATGAATTTAATGCCTCAACACCGCCACCACTCGCACAATGGCCAGCCAAATCATTTTCAATGCTACATAATTTTTTCCCATCAATACTTGTTGTAATATTAATGTTTTCCTTTTTCTTTTTCCTTTTTTATTTTGTTTACCATTTTTCTTCAATGAAAATTAGTGATAGATACTTTTTGTTAGTGCATTATTTTTATATTATATTGCTCATTTGTCTTTCAAAAAAATTATTGCTCATTTGTTTCATTTTAATGCATTTTTCACGATGCAAGAGATTTATTTATTTACATTTAATTTATGCTTTTGTAAAATGTGGACTATAATTATTTTTTTAAAATGTATTTGTACAATCTATAGAATGAAAATATAGACCATAATTATTATTTTTTTGAAAAACATAATGCGGTCCATTATTTTTCTCTGTGTTCTAAATACTAATCAATCATCCACTTTTTATTTTCCAACAATATTTATGACAGTCATTATGAATAATCATGTAATTAATTGTTGTGCACTTGACAATAGTTTTAGTTTAAAAAGTTAATAGTGTTTTGACCTGTTAGTTTGTTTTATTTGTATGCAATGTTTACATATATAGCTGCACCACGTATTGTATATTATGCATATATAGGTGCATTAAAAACTTGTGGTAAATAATAATTGTTTTATCGGTATGCACCATGCTCGTCTATAACTGCAACTAAGTGTGTTGCAGGTGCATGCTATGAATGCCAAATTAAATGGGAGTATACACGTGCATTGATCTTTATGACTAAAGGAATATGTTTGTCCCTTACATGTTGCATTATAATATCTTCAAATGAGTCTTTGTTTTTTAACGATGTTTGTATTGCACTCATTTAATTATAATACACAAGTCTTTATTCTCATGTGAATATGTTTATTTTTCAAATTATTTAGTTTTTTATTGCATATCCATATTATTGGAGCGTGTAGTAAAAAGGTTCATGGTGTTGCATAATCCCATTATGTGTATTGTTGCATATGCTCATGTGTTCAACATCTATTTTTTTTGTTGGTGCATAAACCTAGATAAAAACTTCAAATAAAAATAAAAACAAAAAGTCTAAGAGAAATTTACCTAAATAGGACTAAAACATAATGACTTTCCCAATATAGGATTATTTGTTTTTATTTCCCAATGTAGGACTTTTGGTCATTAACAAGTAGTCATTATTCAAGTAAATTTCTAGCATTACTGGACATTATTCCTCTCACGAGTTCATTATTTAGTCCTATTTAGAGAATAAAAAAAGTTTAAATCCTACACTAGGAAAGTCATTATGTTTTAGTCCTATTTAGTGCAAATTTCACAAAGTCTAAATCTAATGATGATGAGATTGAATATTTCATACAAAAACATCATTACTAAAATTTAACAACAATATAATCAATAATTATTTAAAAAAATCAATAATTTTTTTGCTTAATAGTTCAACATATTAAAATGCATCTTGTAACTTTTCTGATGAATATCAAGAATCGATATTATGCATTTATGTAGTCTCAGTGATGCATATCAAATCTCTATGTTGTGCATTGAAGTGCTATTATTATATGATCCATATTTTATTTCCCAAAAAGTAATGACCCCAAGTAAAACTCCCCGGAAAATCCACCGTAAATATTTTGGCCAAATTAAACTTGAACTTTTCACCGATCATATGATCCATATTTTATTTCCCAACAAAAACAACTAAAATAATTTAAAGATGTACTCCGTAATATTTTTCATATTTCTCCCTTGAACAAAAAAGCACAAAGAACGAAGTTACTGGAATATATATTCAAATATCAATTTGTGAATTAAGAAAAAGAAAAAAAATAAACATATATACTCTCTGTGCTCTTCCCTCCGATCCCATATGAAAAGCTTATCTCTTATTATGAAAGGGTATAATTAATTTTAAAAAAGATGGGCCAAAAAGATTCTTAGAAGCAAATCCAAAAAATCGACATCATCAAGAACCCATGGAATATAATCTTTTATATATATAAAGCAGAGTCGGAGCTATAAGAACGTGACATTTGGCATAGCTAAAATGCGACATGTGGCGAGCTGATGTGGTGACATTTGGCAAAGCTAAAGCGCGACATGTGGCAAGCTGATGTGTCGCCCTTTTAGACAAATCGATTGATTTGACCGGTCAAACCAGTTCTTTTTTTGCAATTTTTTTCAAAAGCATACCACCATGGGGTTTGAAACAAGGATCTCTTGGTCATTTAGTTGAGTTCCTAACCATCCAAGCTAGGGTGTTTTTTGTTACAATCTCACTTAAGCTTTTATAATGTTTCATAATTAAAAAAGGATTGTATAAAAATTTCTTTTAAGTTATAAAAAATATAATCCTTTAATATAATATTTGAGACTCCGTTTGCTAGAAAGTCGCCAAAAGTCAAGCTTATGTAGGCTATATTAAGGTGAGATGACAAGTCTTTATTGGTTGCTTATGTGGCAAATTTTATTAATGATGAATTGACCTTTCTTTTTATTTTAAAATAGAAATTTAATAATGATTTCAAATTTTGGAAAAATTTTACGTTAAAAGATTTAGTACAAATAAAGAATTCATTACTTCGTGACATTAGTTGAGTATTTATATTTTTTATTTTTAAAAAGCAATTCATCTATTTATTTGTTATAATGTGATGAAATTAATTATGTTATAAAATCAAATTTGTGAAAGATAAATGTAGTATTGTCCGAAATAAAATTTTTAAAGGAAAACAATTATATAAAATATAATTTTATGATAAAAATTAATATGATGTAGCAAACATTTAGTGAAAATATAAAATTGGTATTATCACTTACCATTTCAAGACTAGCATTTTTTATGAATCAAATTTTCAAATATATCGTTGGGACTTATTAAATTACACTAACATTATTTATGATTTGATTATCATTGAGTACATTTAATTAAGAAAGAGAGATATTTATTTTTTATTAGAATATTCTTTTAATTTTTTTCCATTTCATTTATAATAATAGTTTCGATGAATATATAAACTACTCTCTTTATCTTTAAAAAAATTCATATTTCTTTATGTTATGATTAAGAGAAGTTAGCTTTATTCCATTTATTTAAATAGTGATGTAAAATAACAAATACTTCTTAATCACTATATTAAAATTATATATATTTAGTGTTTAAACTATACAGAGTATTACTTAGCACGATTATTTAATTTGACTTTTGTACTTTATCTTTCTAATTTGACCTATTATTTTAATCAAAGATGGTTTGCATTGTAACTTACCATATTTAAGATGCAACTTAACATTTATAAATTTATATTAGGTGATAATTCACTATATTGATGCATGAAAATAAAAAAGACGGATGAAGTATGGCTCAATTCTCTTTTCTTTATTTTCGCAATCATACAAAGAAATTTTAAAAAAATGATATTCTTAGAGATGAAGCGATATAACATGGACTTTCACAAAAAATATTTCTATAAGGAAAATTAAGATCTGGAGGTCGAGAAACGCGTGAAGATCTGTGACAATTCAAATTTAGATGCAAGGATAATCAGTATTTTAAGGAAAAGTACAAAGAATATCTTATGTGCAGAAGTGAATAAGATTTATGTTAAACTTCAACATCAAAGAGAAATATAATTTTTAAATTGTAACTCTTTGTATTTTATAAAACATTATGTATTGACCAAAATACTTTCACACACTTAAATGATTGAATATTTAAAAAAGAAAGTAAAACAATGAGTAAAAATTGTGAAATAGTTTTTGTAAAATTTCATTAAAATCATAGAATCACTAATGTTTTTTTTTTGCATTCACATAATTTTTGAAATAATACGAGGGAGAATAATCATTATATTTTTAATGTATTGTAAAATTTATATTTCTTATCATATGATTGTTAATTTATGTTTTCACACTTTTTAATAATACAAGAAAAAAGAGTCAATTTTTAATTAGTGCAAAGGGCCAAGGAGAGAAAGAATCACATTAATGCATCATAGAAATTAAAATCATATATTTCCGTTAAAGTAAATTAATCTGGCAGAGAAGAATCGTGATTTTTTTATATTAAAATTACAAGATTGGAAATCTAAGTTTGTTAAATAAATGCGGGGGAGAAGAATAATAAAATCACCAATGTTTTTGTCGTATATTTTTTGAATTCAGGGGGTGAGAAGAATTATATATTTGTAATAATTTAGTAAACCTAGATTTTATGTGTGTGTGTGTGAAATTTAAATGGTATATAACATAAAAATATTAAGTTGTTTAAATATTTGATATTTTAAAATAAAAAACAATTTAAATGGACATTCAATTTAAAATATTGTCATTTGAATGTAATGCTTTTGTGCATGTTTGTACACTGTTGAATTTCAAATGAGAAGCTTGCTTCATGCACATATAATATGGTTACACTAGAGGGATAAACTTCAACCGCTTGAGTCAATTGATCGTGTGACATGTATAGAGGTTCATAATAAAGATAAATATCCTAGATTTTATGAGTTCGTAACTCGATTATTGATGCATGATCCATGTAGCATAAATGATCTTAGATCTCTATATATGGAGAATGATAAATTTATGAAACATTTTCCCAAAAAATTTCTTGATAATCGTTTGATGGGAATGACTACCTGATATATAAAAGAAGAACCTTAGAGGTCACCACAATATAATGAAAAAGAATATCGAGTTGGATAATCGAATTGTTGTGACATACAACCCACAACTCTTGATGAGGTTTCAAGATCAAACAACATTGAACATTGAAATAAATCTAATTCAATCAAATATCTCTTTAAATATGTAAATAAAGATCTAGATAAAGTAACTGTTGCAGTTAGCCAATCTAACTTTGACATTGTTGACTATGGTGTATTATGAAACAAATAAGTATTCTGATTGTCATTACGTATCTGCATGTGAAGCCTCTTGGATAATCCTCTCTTTTGATATACAACAAAGGTAGTGATCAGTATTGAGGTTGAATTTTATAACCCAAGGCTAAATTTCTAACCTTTAGACACCAACAAAAACTAAAAGATGTTGTCGAAGAAATTATTGATAAAGCCTTAATGTTTGAAGCTTGGATGATTTTCAATACAAAATATAATGCGGGATAAAATTTGACGTATGCAAAGAGTTTCGAGAATATTTTATGTACAACCACAAAGTGCGGAAATAGTTCCAAGGAAACAACAACCGTCAAAAGGCAGACTACAATACGTGCTTACAGAAACTAGAGAGGTATACTGCTTGAGAAGTATTAAATGTCCAACAAGGATGTACAAATTATAAGCGCTTGAGGACATTTAACAATGTTCTACATAATGCATTCAAGGAAGAATGTGAAGCATTGAGTTTATTAACCAATGATAAAGAATTTATTGAAGGTATGAAAGAGGATGTTAAGTCAAGATGTGGGAATCTGCTAAAAAAGTTGTTCGTCACATTATTAGTGACAAGTACCATGAGTCACCCACTAATTTTTTTAGGAAAAATGAGAGATGTAATGAGAGTTTTTAATAATAACTTCATAAATGAATCATTCGGAGGGAAAACAGCTATACTCGGAGGTGATTTTATCCAAATTCTTTTAGGTCTACTCATAGCGTATACAGAGGAAATTGTGGGTGCTACCACCAATTCTCACAAATGTGATTGTAATGTAAAGTTTATAGGTTAGCTAAGAATATGAGATTGCATTTATCTACACGCTCTTGCACAGATAGGGACACATAATCTTTTTTTGTATTGATAAGCAAAGTCAAAGATGGAAAACTTGGACAAGTGATCGAGGAAACTGCTGACGTTGAAATCCCGCTTGAATTCTTGATGCTTGACACAAGTTACCCCCTCAAGAGTATAGTGGACTTTACTTATCCAAACCTATTTGAGAACATGAAAAATTATTCTTTTTTTGAGGATAGTGCATTATTAGCACCCACAATCGAATTTGTTAAATGACAAATGAATTTGTCATATCCCTTATTCTAAAAGGAAAAAAAGGTACTTAAGTTCTCATTCTTCATGCCAAACATATTTAGATGTAGTTGTTGAAGACGATTAGATAACAGTTCAATTCTTCTTAATGAAATCAAATGTCAAGGGATTCAAACCACAAAATAGTTTTTAAAAGGGGTACCGATTATGTTATTGAAAAACATTGACCAAATATATGGATTGTGTAATGGTAAAAGATTAATCGTTAAAGAGATGTGAAAGAACATTATCAATGTAATTGATGTTTCGAGAAATCGCGTTGGAGAAAAAGGTTTACATACCCTGAATAAAATTTGGTATCATCTGATAGAATTCTCAATATAATAGTCTTATGTTTTGCCATGACTATAAACAAAAGTCAATGTCAAACATTGTCCTTTGCTATATTATTTTTAACCAACTCGGGATTTACTCATGGTTAGCTTTATGTTACTGTTTCACGAGTAAAGAAAAAGACATGATTAAAAATATTGGTTCTAGATGATAATAAAAATGCTTACAACGATACAAAAAATGTTGTGTACACTAAAGTGTTTCAAAAAATTTGGAATTAAAAAAGATTTTTTCGAGTACACTTTCAATTTCTCAAATATTATATTCTACTTTGTCGTTGTTTTCCATTGATTAAAATTTGTGACAGAAATATATTTACTTGATTCCGGAATAAATATTTCATTGAAAAATTTCAAAATCCACAATAGTTTCGTTCGACCCCGTGCATCGCACGGGTCAAAATACTAGTTTAATCCATGTGGAAGCTCTTTTGACTATTCAAGAGATGATATGGAAGACAATAAACTTTCCCCAAATGATTGGAAAATTTACGGAAATAATTAATGTAAATAGGAGAGAGAAACAGTTTATATGTAAAAACCCCAAAAAGCCCACATTAAATGACGTATGAAAAGTGCATCCCAACCCAAGATCTAACGGTGGAGGTTTATTCTTATTTCTTTCATTAGATCTCTTTCTCACCGGAACCAAACTAGCTCTTTGGTGAGAGAAAAAAAAATGATTTTCGGGCCTTGGATCTTGTTGATCACACGGCTGTGGGGGGTCAAGCATTTTAAATAGCAAATTTTTTTAAAAGGAAAGGAAGGATACGATGCATTAAAAAAGGGAAGATAGCTGTACGAAGGGTATTATGGTCTCAATGAATGAATAATTACTCGCTGCTATGGCGGAATAATCGCATCTGTCTCACATCTCTACGTTCCAGGGTATCGACGCACCATCTCCGACCTTCATCATTTTGTTTCCGCTTCTCGATTAGAAAATAAATTCATCATCTCCAGCGATGTCCGATTCCATAGCTTCTACTCTCCGGTTCCTTTTCAAGCTATGGCGTTTGAATCTGAACATGATATGTAGGTATTTTATTTCATCCATTTTAGGGTTCATATATAAAATATTAGAGGGGCATAATTATGGGTTGAGGTAGATGTTTTTAGAATTTGTTCGTAATTGAGACGAGTGGTTAAACTTTTCCTCTCTGGATTTTCTCAACACAGTGTTCATGTTCACTGGAGTACTTTATTTGTAAGAAATGCAACATAATTTCATTATGGTGCATTCTTCACCGAC